TTCGTTTCTACGCCATTTCCTAGTTTTTGGTGCAGGATGTTGTTGATTGAGTTAGGATTTTATAGAAAAAGGAGCATCGCAGTATTCTAATCATTAACAAAAGGTAATATCCAGTGGTGAGAAATTTGCACTAAAGCTACTTCCTCTGCTTGCATTCAGAAATCATTCCTGGTATTTCCTGGGTGCTCAAAAACGTCCCTTCCCTCTCTGGATGAGCGCCGAGTTATTACCCCGTCGGCGAGTTTTGTAATTGTTTGCCTGTACAGAGCCAAGAAAGCCTAGTCCATGTAGTGGTGACTGTGCATTTCGAACGATTGACGTGTTCTTCAATATTTGTGCCGTTTCAAAAAATGTAAATGTAAGTCAAAAAAGGATCTTAAGTCATGTTTCCAATACAGTGTCATAGAACTAGTATTCTTTTATTCCATTCAGTTTTGAAGCTTATTTTACACATTCACGGCGGCTTCCAATTTCGCTTTTGGTAGGCAGGCGCGAGTTACCCAACCTTATCTCTGATTCGTGGCTTATGTTTAGTCGGAGCAAAACCATAACCACAAGCTTAGTAACCTATTCAGAAGTTGATTATTCCGATATGAAATATATGCAAAAATTCCAAAAAATGGTTGGTAGGCGAGTAGCTGACAACCCACATAGGCGGCCCTTCGGCGTGAATGTGTCAATCGAAGTAAAAAGTGGAGAAGAAAGTCTAAGTTTGATTTTCTGCAGATCTTTGTGGAGTACTTGCAGTCGAACATCGCATTTTCTCAGGCGTTGCAAATAATAGTTGTTGGATATCCAAGGTTATTGCTATTTTAATGACCTTGAGATTATTCTTGCTCGATTTCTGATGTACAAGCTCAACTATTTAGGAATAAAGTTACCATGAGACAACACGAAGAATTTGCGTATATAGCCGTCGTATCATGGGTTGCCGTTCGTACCTCAGAGAAGGCACAAGAACTCATATTTGAAAAAACCGAGTGGAGCGCGGGATGTGGCGGGATTATCAGAGTGGAGGGCGGGAAGTGGCGGGATATCAAGTATAGATGGATATACACGTTGGTCGTGTTTGAACGTGGCAGTGTGGTGGAATTACCACTTGCTATTCATAGGGATACCTCGAAATATGAATTTCGAGCCCATCAGGGCACTTTTTGTGCCTTCTCAGCAGCGCGGGTCGCGACGCGGTGTATATTTTTTTCTCACGATGACGACTTCTGCTCCGAGTACAGTTTCAAGAGAACTGCACGGACGACAAACGGATGTTCTACCTCTGGCTGCGGTAGTGCTATAGGACTGAATCGATGGATAGAAGGCAGATAACCGACCCGCACTGTTCCGCTCCTGTACAAATCGTCGAGGGGCAGTTTTCACCGACCCTCTCCACCCACGACGTCCTCACTTTTGTGAGGCAAGAAACACTGCCAGAGCATTAGCTCGTAGGCTTGTCATCAGAAGAAGGATGAGAATACGTGGCCGTCCCTCCGTAACACAGTTCTGCGTCGTCGAGATTCTAAGCATCCTAATCTGTAGTGAAAACTGGTACGGTTGTTGGGCAGTAGTAAGAATTTTTTCGCCCACGTGATTTTTGCACGCTGATGCGCTTATTGTAAAGTTGCTGCTGAGTGTGCCAGAGCGTCGAGCTATGGTGAAGAAATAAATGTGTCCACGAGAGAGGGGCAAACATGTGCGTCGACGTAGTGTCAGGGGGCACAAACAAGCTCGAGAAAGCGATGCTGTTCTTGTGCTTCCTGGTCAGATAGTAAGTATGAAGTAAAATTTTCGCCCGCAGTTCTAATACTTAAATTTGAATTTAAGGATAGAACTGTGTGCCGATGTGTGGCGGACGATGAAGAATTCGTCTTGTACGACGAACCAGGAACAATTTATTTTGCAAGTCGTTCGCTGTGGAACGCCGTTTTTAGTAGAGTGCAGTTGAAGGCTGTCTTTGTAAGTTTTTTTATCGTGTAAGATAAGCTGTATCCAAAATGATCTCATGTTTAGTGTGACGGCCGCTACAAGCAAATCCCAAGGGTAGGTGTGCCGTGGTCCATCGTCTCAGTTTTATTCTATCCTCGGAGAATTCCGAGGAGGTCATGTTCTGCCGCTGATGTATGCCTTCATTCCCGATGGATTGGAGCTGACATACAAGAAGTTATTCCGATGGCTTTGGAATTCTGTGGAAAATTTTGGTGGCCATGATGCATTCCGAAGAACCGTCTTTTTAACCGACTTCGAGCTTCCAGCCATGACCGCAGCGATGGCAGAAATGCCTATCCAACTGAAGGGGTGAGTAAAAATTTATGACATTTTGTTTTTCTGAAGAAAAAACTATTATTTTTAGGTGTTTTTTTCATTATACACAATGTATAATCCGTAAACGAGACGAACTAGGACTTCGAGCCGCTGCGAGGAAAAACCGTGTCATTGGAACTTATTTCCGCCGAATTCAGATGCTCCCATTATTGCCACCACAGTTCCACCGCCTGTCGGAGGCATTGCTGATTCCCCCACCCCCAGCAGTGTCTATTAATGAATTTGCCCTGATGGTTGAATTTGTTGATTATTGGTTCAATACCTGGGGGGATGGAGGCGTTTTGACAACCTATGGGATCACTCCTCGAACCTGGGTGCAAGGACAACTAATACTGTTGAAGGATCGCACACTAAAATTCGCGTTATGTTCCCACGTGGTATCCCAACGCTGCTACAAATGATGGATTTCGTGAAAGCTCAGCTAAGCGCAGCAAAATCTGTTGTGGGACCGTTAACGGCTGGTGCTTTAGCGCCTTGGTACATCGCTCCATTTGTGAGGGAGCGTCAGCAAGAAATCCTTGTTAGGATGAGTGTATTCGCTGAAGCCCATT